CATGTAAGATGGGCAAAGAGCAATTGAAACTGAACTCCTATATTTACAAAGGCAAAGCAAAGCGTCATATTGGAAACTCCCACTTTTATTGGCTCTGAAGTGAAAGAGAAACTTCAAAGCTTAAAAAAATCCCCAGAGATTCCAAAACAAACAACCAAGGTTAAGGATTTATATAAATATTACTAACTTATATTTATCCAACATTTTTAACAGGTAAAAAAAACCATCTCATTATGGGTTGACTCTGGGAGATCCCCACAGATAAACACAGCTCAGCTGTTATTGTAACACAGATGATTTCTTTGAAATGCAACATCTTGCATTCTTTAACCCTTGTGTTCAGTCCTTTGGATATTTTGTTTAAATAATGTCTAAAATCATTCACAGTATATATATAAATTGACCTTCTTAAGAGAAAATGTACACATTTCATTTTTTAATGACAGATTTAACCGAAACATTGGGGATGTTTGGGGTCTTGGGTATTTAAAGTTGATCACTTATTTTACACTACTACAGTTTTGTTTTTTTAATTTTATTTAGTATTATTGTATTTTTTTTTTGTTTTGTTTTTTTGTTTTTTCAAAAATTGACCATAATTTTTGCACATGAACCTCTGGTGTGGTTAGCAGATGTGTGTCACCTGAGTATGGTTGGTGCTGTTTGGAGGTAAAGATTCTTTCTTATTATTTCTTCTTTAAAAATTGTTGGTGTTCACCAGCAGTGAACAGGGTGGCAGAGCCAAAACTACACGCTGAATCCTGTACTTCTGTACTCCTCTATGTTTCTCCCCGGGTTAGTTTGTAAGTTTGCTGTCGAGCCAGCCTTTTGTTTTTGTATTCAATAAAGTATTTTATTTTACCTTAACAAAAGTCCTTCCAGTCATGTCCATAACTGGAATTCAAGGAGGTTCTGGCAAATTATTCAGCTCCATGCATGTTTGGGGAACTGCTGTTCTGTCAGAGGACTGGAAAACATGAGTCAACTATCATGGCAGAGGTTGAAGAGGTGCTCCAAAAGCTCCTCAGTGGCAGGAGACCAGAGGTGGACAAGATTCACCATGAGATGCTGAAGACTCTGGATGTTGTGGGATTCTCATGACTGATAGAAGACCAGGACAGCACCTGTGGAGTGGMAGACTGGGCTGCTGGATCCCATTTTTTAAAAAGATGGACTGGAGAGTGTGTTCCTATGGCGCGGTATGAAGGCCAAAATTAAGACTATTGTGCAACCTGCGGTAGCAACATCCTTAGAGCAGGAGGCTACATCTTCTCCTAAGCCAGCTGTTGATCTGATTAATGATAGGCCGGCTCCGGTAACTGAGAGGCTGGCGCTGGCAAATGAGAAGGAGACTATTCATTTGTGTTAGCGTCGGAGAGGCTAGTTATTTGACCAAAGAAAAACCGGAGCAGGACTAGAGAGAGATGAATATGATTTAGATTTTTATTTCTGTGACTGTATACGACCCACAGAAGACACGACATTAACAGCAGTCATCATTTCATTCCTTGGTTTTAGCAGGTCTGATGTGTAATCATGAACGTTTTGTCGATAAAATAAAATGAGCAAACAAACTGTCTTTGGTGGGTTTTTGAGATTTGAAGCTGCTAGCCATGTTAGTTTACGATCCTCCTTTGTCAGCATAAAGTGCAGTGCGTAGGACGCTGGGCATAATGTGTGTCCTTGCTTCTTGTTCCAGGCAAAATGTTTGTAAAGAGTTTCTCTGTGTTCTTGAATTGTTTTGGCAGCTGACAAAGACACAAKTTGAACCCAAGCTCGTGGTCAAACTGCTCAAGCTGCCAGCTAAAGCAAAAATTTACTGATTTTGTTGTTAGCATAAGCAATAAATGGCTTAAATCTGTCTTTGCATACCGGAAATATGAAACTGGAGGGTGGAAGTATAGCTGTCTGTCATGGCAGCCTACATACTGTATGCTTTTACAGAAACCTGAGAACAAATGTGTTGTATTATAATCTGACTATATACACTCACTGGCCACTTTATTAGGCACACCTGTCCAACTGCTCGTTAACACTTAATTTCTAATCAGCCAAT